TCTTTTTAAAAATCAGTTTTTCAAAACAATTTGTTGGATTTGGACTCTTTGATGATTCATCGGTCTTGCATTGCACTCTGCGAGATTAGATACAGGACCGTGACATTAAGTCCTGAACTGTAGTAAGCCCAAATGAACAAAACGGGGGGGATTTCGTTCCCGGGATGTTCAGGGACGTCTACACCATGTACCCCCTAGATGAGGAGAAGACTGCGTTCATCACCCCAAAAGGGCTGTATTGCTATAGAGTGATGCCTTTTGGGTTGAAAAACGCAGGAGCAACTGACCAGAGATTGGTAACCAAACTGTTCAAACACCTGATTGGCCGAACAGTGGAAGTTTACATCGACGACATGGTCTTGAAGACCAAGGAACCTAAGGGTCTTCTGGCCGACCTAAAAGCAATCTTTGACGTCCTTAAAACATATCGGCTCCGACTCAATGCATCGAAGTGTGCATTTGGAGTTTGGTCTGGCAAGTTTTTAGGATACCTAGTGACCAGAAGGGGCATTGAGGCCAGCCCAGATCAGATTAAGGCCATCCTTGAGTTGAAGAGCCCAATATCGACAAAACAGGTGCAGATGCTAATTGGAAGGGCTGCAGCTCTGAACAGGTTCATAAGCAGGAGCTCTGACAAATGAAAACCCTTCTTCAACTTAGTGAAGAAGGCCACAGACTTCTTATGGACAGAGGAGTGTGAAGTCGCCATGGCCGACTTAAAGAAGTATTTGACCACGGCTCTAGTTCTCTCAAATCTAGAACCTGGAGAGGAGTTGTTCCTATACTTAGCAGTTTCAGAACACGTGGTAAGCGTAGTGGTAATCTGAGAAGAAAAAGGGAAGCAAAGGGCTGTTTACTATGTAAGCAAAACCCTGGCTGATGTAGAAACTAGGTATTTACCCCTACAGAAGTTGGCACTGGCATTAGTAATGGCTTCAAAGAAACTGAACCATTATTTTCAAGCCCACAGAATTGTGGTGCTGACTGAACACCCTTTGAAGTCCCTGCTGCAACAAGGAGATCTGACAGGAAGAATAGTCAGATAGGCAGTGGCCTTAGGCCAGTATGAGCTAGAGTACAGACCTAGAACAGCAATTAAAGGCCGAGTCTTGGCCGAGTTCACTCCAGGGGCCACCGTACATCTGGCTCCGTCGAGCTGAGATGGACAATGTCCAAGCGAGCAAAGAAGAGCCCAGCCGAGGGCAACAGAACAAAGGAAAGAAGAAAAACTAAGGCCCTGCAACATTTACATCAGCGACTCCTTTCGTCTGTTTGTTGATGGGAGTTCAAACCGACAAAGAGCAGGGACAGGAGTAGTACTGGTATCTCCAGATGGGCAGATACTAGAGCAATCCATTCGTTTGGGGTTCAAGGCCTTAAACAATGAAGCAAAATATGAAGCACTGATTACAGGACTGAAACTGGCAGTGGCAGTAGAAACAGATGAGGTGATAGTCTTTTGTGACTCTCAACTTATAGTCAACCAGACAACAAGCGAGTTCGCAACCCAAGATGAACGTATGTCGGCATACGCAAAGGAAGTAGGCAGATTGGTGGCCTTGTTTCAAAATTGCCAACTACAGCAGGTTAGCCGAGATGATAACAGTCACGTCGATGCCCTGGCCAACCTGGCTAGTGCAATACAACCTGGAAAGGCAAGGACGATAATGGTCGATTACTTGTTGGGCCCGAGCATCGAATCATTGACTACGGAGCATGAAGTAATGTGTGTGGACATGGGACCAAGCTGGATGGATGAAATAATAACATTCCTGAAAGAAGGAAAACTGTCAAATGATCACAAAGAGGCACACAAGATCATATTGAAGTCAGCAAGATTCAGTCTGACAGCAGAGGGACATATCTACAGAAGATCCTTCACTGGACCCCTTTTAAGGTGTGTACATCCCTCACAAATTGAAGATTTTTTATATGAAATACATGAAGGAATATGTGGAAGCCACACTGTGGGCAGATCACTTGTTCATAGGGCCATCACCCAAAGGTATTGGTGGCCTTATATGCAGAAAGATGCAGAAACCTATGTCAAGAAGTGTGACAAGTGCCAAAGGTTTGCACCATTGATACACCAACCAGCAGCCGACCTAAACCCAGTATCCAGTCCTTGGCCGTTTGCCCAATGGGGCATGGATCTTGTTGGACAACTGCCCCAAGCAACTGGGCAAAGGAAGTACCTACCGGTAGCAACAGATTACTTCACTAAATGGATAGAAGCTGAGCCCCTAGCCAAGATTCGAGACGTGGATGTGAAGAGCTTCATATGGAAGAACATAATCACAAGGTTTAGGATCCCAAGAGCAATAGTTACAGACAATATAACACAATTTGACAGCAAACTAATCAAGAGCTTCTATGCAAAGTTCAAAATCAAGAATTATTTTTCAACCCCAAGCTTTTCCCAAAGCAATGGATAAGCAGAAGCATCCAACAAAATTATCTTGGATGGGATAAAAAAGAGGCTACAAGCAACAAAGGGAAAGTGGGTGGATAAACTGCCAAGTGTACTCTAGGCATATCGGACTACGCTGAGAAGATCAACTGGGGAATCCCCATTTGCCATGGCTTATGGCACAGAAGCAGTCATTCCTCTGGAAGTCGACATCCCAGGAATCAGAACTCAAGGAGTAGAGAATGGGACTAATGATGTATTATTAGCCCGAGATTTGGATCTGCTAGAAGAAAGAAGGGAGAGAACTGCAATTCAACTGGCAACTTACCAGCAGCAGCTTGCCAGGGCCTATAATAAAAAGGTCAACCCAATGAAGTTTCAAATCGGTGACCTCGTCTTGAGAAAGGTCGTTGGCAACAAGAAGGATCCCAGAGAGGGCAAGCTCGGCCCAAATTGGGAGGGACCCTACAGAATCATCTCGATGTTGGGCAATGAGACATATCGGCTTGAAGATAGCGAGGGCAAAGAGTTGCCAAGGCCCTGGAACACTTGCAATCTGAAAATTTTCTATCATTAGATTTTTTTATTTTTTATTATTTGCTGAAGTAATAAATAAAGTTTTAGCTTGATTTTTTTACACTTATGATTGATAAAGATACTTGACGAGGTTTCTGGAATACACGCATAATGAGAACCCAAGTGCAACTTCAGTTCACATTAGGGGGCAGAGAGTTGGAAAATGGTTCGAATATACAGGCTAAAATTAGTTTAACACTTGTTGAAATTTAAGAAAAATTTATAAGTTGAAGTTAAACTAAGGTTTTGTCTAACACTTGTTGAAATTTGAGAAAAATTTACAAGTTAAAGTTAGCCGAGATCATGTTTAAACACTTGTTGAAATTTGTGAAAAATTTACAAGTTGAAGTTAAACTAAGGTTATGCCTAACACTTGTTGAAATTTGAGAAACATTTACAAGTTGAAATTAGCCGAGATCATGTTTAACACTTGTTGAAATTTGTAAAAAATTTACAAGTTGAAGTTAAACTAAAGTTGTGTCTAACACTTGTTGAAATTTGTGAAAATTTTACAAGTTGAAGTTAGCCGAGATCATGTTTAACACTTGTTGAAATTTGTGAAAAATTTACAAGTTGAAGTTAAACTAAAGTTATGTCTAACACTTGTTGAAATTTGTGAAAAATTTACAAGTTGAAGTTAAACTAAGGTTATACCTAACACTTGTTGAAATTTGAGAAAAATTTACAAGTTGAAGTTAGCCGAAATCATGTTTAATACTTGTTGAAATTTGTGAAAAATTTACAAGTTGAAATTAAACTAAAGTTATGTCTAACATTTGTTGAAATTTGTAAAAAATTTACAAGTTGAAGTTAGCCAAGATCATGTTTAACACTTGTTGAAATTTGTGAAAAATTTACAAATTGAAGTTAAACTAAGGTTATGTCTAACACTTGTTGAAATTTGAGAAAAATTTACAAGTTGAGTTAGACCGAGATCATGTTTAACATTTGTTGAAATTTGTGAAAAATTTACAAGTTGAATTTAAACTAAGGTTATGTCTGACACTTGTTGAAATTGTGAAAAAATTTACAAGTTAAGGCCAAGGTTGTATTAAACTGAGTACTCATGTACTTGTCGATGTAAACCGTTGGTGGGTATAGCCGAGGTATTTCACCCCGAGAAAATTACACTGTGAAAGTGTGCATTGAAGATATGCAAAAAAATCTAAGTATGGAATCATACAAAAGCAGTAAAAAGAAGACAAAGATACAAACATTCAGGAAATGAAGCTATATTAACATTCAAAAGAAGTCATGCCGACCAAAGCTTACAATTGTTCCAAAGAAGAAAAAACAAAAGTACAAAATATAAAGGAAAAGGACATCAAAATAAAGACTCTTTAGCAAACGGTTGGGTTTGAAGTTCAGAAGACTGCTGGGAGGACATCTCAGCAGATTTTTCAGCCGTGAGCTCGGCATCTATTTCCTGAAGGGTTTGATTGAGGCTCTTGTCGGCGAGAGGCACATCCGATGATGCCTCCTCAAGAGTGGCATCCTTGGGAACCTCCTCACCCTCCTCATCTTGAGTCAAGTCTAGGACTTGCTCATTTTGAACAGAGGACTTGGCCCCAGCAGCTTCTTTTGATTTCCTTACCAAAGCTTCCTCCTCAGACTCAGAGTCGTTGTCAGATTGGCTTGGAGTTGAGGGGAATGGAAGAGAAAGGACGTTGGTGTTCCTAAGGAGGGAGTCATCGGGGATTTCGAGCTTTTTCAGTAAAGTCATCCAACCAAGGGTAAAACCCTTGTTGCATGCCTGCTTTACTTATTTCTCGTAATCCGCCGTGACATCGGCCACCCTCTCATTGTATCCCTTCTCGTCGGCAGCCTTGACTTCGGCCTCTTTTGTGGCCAAGGCATCTTGAAGTTTTTTCTGAGCATGGGTCATCTTTTCCTTGGCCTCTCTCTTTTGGGCCTCGAGAACCTTCTTGATGGCCTCAGCGGATTCCGCTTTTTCTTCGACGCCATCCTTAGCTTTGATAGCAGCCTCGGCCTGATTCTCCAAGGTCTTCATTTTTTATTGCAAGTTTTTATTAGTCTTTTGCAGACTAGCAGCCTCCCTATTCTTGTCGGCTAACGCCTTCCTTGTCTCAAAAGATTGCATCGAGAAGGAATGGTGTGCTGAATTACCTGAAGAAAAATAGACAGAACAGAAGTTATTAGAAAATGTTATAAGTATGAAAAACAAACAAAGAAAGAAAAATTACCGAATAAAGAGACTTACTTGAACAGAGTGCTGGAGCATCAGAGCAACGTTTTCATACTCGCTCATATCGGTGTTCCGGTCGAGATAGCCGGGAAGAAACAGAGCGGTACTAAGAGCGACGCCGACATTAACGTCGTCGACACTATCGCCAGCCCTCACTGGCCTGTCTTCCAGTGTGATTGGGGGGGCCCAAGGGGAATCATTCTTCAGAGACCCTGAGGTGGTTGCAGAGGATAACCTCGGCCTTTTTGATCTAGCAGACTCGAATGGTGGGGCCTCGACAGGCCTCTTCTCGGTAGCAAGGTTGTGCTTATCACTCTCAGCCATTTTGGAAATTGGAAAGGTGTCCTCAGTATCAATCTGAGTCACCTTTGCCTTTGGCTGGGCCTTCTTGACTCTATTTTGCTTTTGCTTTGGTTGAGGCTGGGTTTGTGCTAGCTGAACGTCAATGTCGACTGGGATGCAGGCTAAGAGGTCTTTGGCAACTGCTTTTTGGCGGCCCATCTCGGCAGAAAAAATAGTTCGTCGCCGGCGTTGGCATTGAGATGGCAAGATTAGATATGGAGCCGAGGTTAATGGCTGCTCTGCTGGATCTGAGGTTGATCCTTGATCTGGCCGAGATGATGAGGCTGATGGAGGAGTAGTGGCAGATGGAGGAGACTGACTCTTCTTCTTCTTCTTTGGAACGTCGGGAAGAACCGACTTGTAGGTGGGAATGAAATTAAGCAGCAGGGGGACTCTGCGCTTGTGCACTGGCAAATCCAAAAGCTTCTTCAAGTCTTTGCTAGGGAAGAAAAACTGGCGAAAGCTCTTGGGTGGCTGAGTAAGAACTACAAAAAGAATAACACAGACATTAGAACAAAGTATTGAGGACTTTAAAAAACAAGTAAGTATAAACACTGGCCTCTTACCAATACCCTCTACAAAAACTGTTCGAGGAAGAGGGTAGAGGTAGAGGTCCTTATCTAGAGCGAACTCCAAGTTTCCCAAGGTAATGAACTAATCATCCCTAGCTCCCTTGTTAGAGTCTGGGAGGTCGGCCACGATTTTATACTCTGTGGACCTCGGCTTAAAGTAGTAAATGTAACCTTTCTCTTTCAGCGAAAGGCCGCACATAGTATAACAGTATTGGATGTCGGCTAAGGTAACCCTAGCATTCTCTTGTCGGGCTAAGGCTATTATGCCATTAATGACTCGGTAGGAATTAATGGCGAGCTGCATCGGGTTCAACTTATAGTAATGGGGGACTTCTCGAAAAGGGATGTTGAGTGGGAGCCTAAGTCCACACTCGATGAAAGCTACAATAAGGAAGGGCATAGAATCAGTTGTAGGCACAATGGAGTCATCCTCCCCAGCCAACCTCAGATGAACGTTGGCCGGGATGTCAAACTCCTGCCTGAAGTGCTCTAATTTGGTCGGGGTGTCTACCCTATGCTTCAACATACCCATGATATCAACTTAACTGGAAAAGTTAGATTTCAGAAAGGAGAGGTTTTTGTAAAGGTTTTAGAGACCTCGGCAAGAACCTAAATATAAGCTAAGGTAAGAATCTGGGGGGATCGTTTCAATTTCTCCTAAAGTTTATTTGTTTTACAAACAAAATCCCAAACCTAGATATATGCAAACGAAGATTGAACGCAAGAATCTGGAGAAAATGCAGAAAACACAAACAAAAATAGTAATTCAGAGTCAAGAACAGTGATGGATCGTCAAGAAACACAAGACAAAAGTTTGCGCAGGTGTGTCACGCCAAGAACAGTGGCAAAAATCAACAAATGTATAAATAGTGTGTATTCAGAAAACAGATGGGGCAAAAACAGATTCATGAAATAAACATATGGTGGAAAACAAGATACAGGTTGAAATATCAAATATATGAGCAGGATTGCAGAGGCAGAGTAGTGGAGTTCAGTAAAACAAGACAAAAAACTAAAACAAGAAGTTAAATCGGGAAGAAACAGTAACTCACCGAAGAAAAAGAAGCTAGTGTTAAGTTCACCGAAGCCAGATGAACTACAGCAATGGGAAAAATTAGCAAGAGCCTCGCCGAAGGAGGTGAACGACGGTGGTAGTAGGGCTTGAGAGCTTGGAACAATAAAGGATTTAAGAAAGTAAGAGAGAGAGAGTTTGAACAAAAATGATGATAAGTGAAAAGATAGAGAGAGAGGGAACAAGTTTTGTCAAAAAAAAACGCGAAGAGGCAGCAAAATGCAATTGATGAGCCTAGAACAACGCATTGGTCAGACGGCGCACCCAGACGCAAGACAGCTTACAAGCGCGTCTCAGATACGGTCCAGTGAGGGACAAACGCGTGGCAGAAACGGTTGGCTTATTTTGCGTAACAGCTCATACGCGTGGGGGAGCTCTTGAAATTCTTGATTTTATGGAGCAGTACCTTGGCCTTTTGGATGATCTCAGCTGAGAAACTTGGACAATCTTTGTTAAAAATTCTAGAACCTTGATGAGGCAGACTACAAGACCTGGTTGTGAAAAGCCGGTGTATCATGACCTCGGCAAAATAGCCGACATGAACGATATAGGTTCCATCACCTCAGGATGCCGAGGTAATAGAACCTAGGGGGCAGTTGTGGAGATATATTTTCTGAGTACCAACACGTGGCCAAGGTGACGCCGACGTGTCAGCCGAGGTGCCACGTGTCCTGGTCATAACGCCGAGGTGATCTCGGCTAGGCCGAGATTGTCTCCGAAAATATCAGAATCCGGGATAAGCGGATAAGGGACAAGAGTCTTAAAATGAGGAAGGGACACAATCTTTGTTAAAAATTCTAGAACCTTGATGAGACAGACTACAAGACCTGGTTGTGAAAAGCCGGTGTATCATAACCTCGGCAAAATAGCCGACATGAACGATATAGGTTCCATCACCTCAGGATGCCGAGGTAATAGAACCTAGGGGGCAGTTGTGGAGATATATTTTCTAAGTACCAACACATGGCCAAGGTGACGCCGACGTATCAGCCGAGGTGCCACGTGTCCTGGTCATAACGCCGAGGTGATCTCGGCTAGGCCGAGATTGTCTCCGAAAATATCGGAATCCGGGATAAGCGAATAAGGGACAAGAGTCTTAAAATGAGGAAGGGACTCAACCTGGATATGAATAAAGCTCTTAGGGAGTTTATCTTTATCTATTGAAGAGTCCAGGATAAGCACTAAGCTAAAGTCCATTGAAGCAAGGCTTCTATTGGGACTAGGATTGAGTTAACTATAAAAGAGAGGCACCCCCATGGGTTTAAGGTACGCAATTTATATTCAGAACAGTGAGTTAAGCTCTATTGATTATCTTTGAGAGATATTTTATTACTGACTTAATCATCGGAGTGCCCCCGGGTAGACGAACCACCACCGGAATCTCTTCTTTCTGTTGCAAGTCATTCAGGCTTATCCTATTCCGCCGATGTTCTCCAGCTGAGTACTGAGTTGACAGTGTGGTCAGAAATTCACTCACACACCTACTTTGCATATTTTCAATATCGGTAATTTTTGAAAAATTAGTCCACTGTTTTTTTCTTTCCAGGGTTACTAGATATTGCATTGACATTTGCACAGTTGTGTATTGATTATAGAAATAGGCTTACTGTTGGTTTGTAGAAAATAAATAAGTCCACTGCTTTCATGATTAGTTTTGTTTTGGTCTATTATTATAAATCACATGTTTCTCTATGTTAGAATAATCCTTGGGAATAATTTTGGTTTGGTGTCTGTGTATTGGAAGATGTACAGGGTTTGTCCACTGTTTGCATTTGAATTTATTTTCCTTCACATCTTTTTCCGAGGCATGCCTACAATAGTAAAAAAATAATAATAATAAAAAAATAAAAAATGAGGAATTACATGTTGCTAGTTATTGTTGCATATATGATTACATACTAAATTAATTCACATGTTTTTATTTTCTAGATTTAAATCAATTTTTCATGCTTCTTATTCTAGAATTATTTACATGTTAATTACTATAGACTTATTTACATGTTAATTGCTAGAATAATTTACAAGTTTATTACATGTTTATTGTGATTTAAATTCTGTATAACTCTAGCCTATTAACTTTTAATTTAAGGTTTTAGAGTTATAGAGTTTTGTAACTTGTCTAAATTTATGTATATGACTATTGTGTAATTTAATTGGGTGAATTAAAATTTTGAATTAAATATATTTATTTGGAGTTATGACTATTAAATTTTATTTTTAAAGTTGTAATTTAATTTGGAGTCACAAATCTTATTTTAAAGTTGAATTTAATTTTGAAGTTTTAATTTTATTTTGTAACTCTTGCATATTAATTTAATTTATTTATTTAGAGTTATAAGATTACATGATTATTTTTTTTGTATAAATTGATATGTAACTCTTGAATATTAATTTAATTTATTAATTATTGTCAGTTAAATTGATATGTAACTCATGGCTAGAAGTTTAATTATTTAGGAGGTATAAGGTTTTGTCACCTTTGTAATAATTTTATTTTTGTAACACATCTAGCATGTTAATTGATTAGTTAATTTTCTTATTAATTAGTTTACTAGATGGTTTTAATTAATTTATTATATTTACTTTCTACCTAGAATATTTGATTTGTATTTTTGTTTTGATTTTTCTGTTAACTTTTTTACAAGAATACCTAAGCGTGGAAAAGAATTATTTGGACTATATTATTTAAGCAATTTTGTTTGAGATTTAGTAGTGATTACTTGCCAATTTTTTAAGCAATGTTGTTTGCTTGGCATATTAGAAGCATTTTTTTTTTTTTTTTTTTTTGCTTATCTTTGTTATAGGAATTTTTTACATTGCTTGTAATTGTTAGAAATTTTATTCTAATTGCTTGTAAGTTTGGAACTAATTTGTTTTAACCTAGTTCATCCCTTGAAAATTTTAATTTTTAAAATTGTTTATTACGGACTAGGAGTCAACATGCTCTTGAAAGTTTTGTCAAAAGGTTAATTGGATTTTAAGTGGGACTGGTGTAACCCCTCCAGTCTTCTTGAGAACATTCTTGACCATGTTCAATTCTTGATTAAGTGGTGAGACTAGTTTTTGAATTAAATTTCAAACTATGAGATTTTCGAAGGGTTAAGTTTAATTTTTGGAAACACAAAAAGTGATATTCTGTTATATTTTTCAAAAATGGCAACTATCACTAATGATGTTGCTACTACTAATGTTGGTGGGGATAGGGCTGCAAACGAGCCGAGTCTAGCTGAGTATCATCGTGTTCAAGCTCGGCTCGAATAAATTTTCAAGTGCTCGAGCTCGGCTCGAGCTCAAATGAACTTAACATTACTAAACTCGAGCTCGACTCGTTAGGCTGAAGCAAAACTCTAGCTCGGCTCGTGTGGCTCGACTTTGTAATTAATAGTCGCTTGAATCGCAGAAGCAAAGGTAGATTGTTGGCTTCCTCCACTTATATGGAGCCCTTGTCCCTATTGAATGTGTAAAAGAAGCGATGTGGGATACTTGAACAATCCCAAACCCGGGACACGTCATTTACAATTCTTTTTTTTTTTTTTTTTTTTTTGTGAAGTTCATTCAGTGGCTGTCCCACATCGAATGATAAGGAAACTTGAAGTAATCTCACCCTTTATAAATTGTTTTCCATTTTCTCACTTTCTGTTAGACAATGCTTTATTATTTGTTTATTATTTCTTGATGACTTGGAGACTTTATTACTTATTGATGACTTGGAAACTGGGTTATCATTAATATTTTCAATTATTTTTTTTGTTTGTAACTAATATATAATATGATATAATAATGTAATATAATCGAGTCGAGCCTAATCGAGCCAAGCTCATATTAGCTCGAGCTCGACTCG